AGTGGGGAGCCCGATGTGATGTGGGGCTCAATCCCAAGACCTTGAAATCATGACCTGAGCCAAAGTCAGACATTTAACTGATTGAGCCACCCAGGCACCCCTGTTATATATATATTTTAAACTAAAAAAGTTATAAATTTAAAAAAAGAAAGAAAAGAAAAAGGATAATTTCATGACTGGTAGCAAAGGCACTCACAATTTTCGAGTAGCCCATACAGTGCACCTGTGTCAGTGTGCATTATGGCTGTCCTAATCATGGTGACTCTGCATTCTAATCTATCTACCTCACTGTGTCTTCTAGTGTGGTCATGCCTGGAGATACTGTAAAACAGGTAATGTGATTACTAATTACTTTCTTTTTATTTCCTTTTGTGTTACAACTAGGGCATTATATTGCATTTTTGGAATTCTGCGATGCAGAGGAGGGTTTTATTAACCATGAGTTTCAGTTCAGGATAGGAAAGGCCATGTTATAAAATATTTGTTATATAAAGGATACATTATGTTGAAAGGGCTGAGAATCACTGGTGAGAGATAAGACATATATAAATGGAATTAAAATACAAGGCAAATCACGGCAGCATCTCAGAGAGGTAATAAATACAAAGGGAGAGCAAGGGAAAGAGATGTTATTGGCCATGGGGGATCTGGAAAGACCCACGGAAAAAGTGTAATGTGGGCAGATACTGACTGACGTCCTCTGCTAGAACAAACAGCTCCAGGGATGTGGGGCTTGGGATCTGCCTCCAATGGTGTCCATTCCTTTTGGCATGGCCCTTGATTTTTTATCAAGTTCTTTTTGATGTATCTTCTCCACAGTGGCCCTTGTTCTGGGAGGCTCCAGTAGGTAGAGAATGACAAATTACTAGCCTATGTAGTATCTTTTCCAGAATCTAAAAACTGTGGTCTCTATAATACTCTCTGGTTAATCTCTTCTTCAGGCTAAAATCTCCCTACCTCCTCAACTGTTTCCCATACAGCTTGGTTTCATATTCCCTCACCATTTGGGTCATTTTCCTCTGAATATGTTCCAATTTGTCAGTGGCCTTTTAAGAGTGCGGTGCCTAGAACTAAATGTGATTTCCAGAACTGAAACAATAACGATATCTCCTAATATCCCCAAAGGGGGAAGTGTTATCACTCCACATAGTGTGATCAGGATGGAGAAAGGAGCAGGAGAGGATCTGTCTTAATCATCACTGTATTGCCAATATTGAATTTTTTTTGTTTGTTTAAGCAAGTTAAATCTGAATTTTTAATACTTGCATCTACAGTTCGGATCTCAGTGCCTTTTTCCCCTAGTTTATTTTTGTTCTGAGGATTAAATGAAAATGTGAGTCTAGTTAATAGACACTAACAATTATTCTCGTTTGCTGATAGTGTGTGCTTATTGCCATTCTATAGTCATTTCTTATCTGAAGACATTTTTCTCTTAACACACTGGGCCCTGCCCATGTCCCAAGTCAATCTAACCAAGACTGGTGGGTACGCCAGCCACCCTTTCCAGGGGCTAGGCCTGTAAAGCAGAGTTAGAATTTCTGCCTTAAGCATGGATCTGATGTGTGTGTATGGAAAGCCCCTGCATTCCTGTGTATCCAATGAACCTCAGTTTGAGTCTCACTGTCTGGATACCTCCATCTAAGTTCCAGATTTTCATAGTATTTTGGTCCAACACTGAAACCCTGCGATAACTTGACTGGCTCTTGCTAATAGGCTGTGTCCTGGGGCTGAAACAGTGCCAGTTCATCTTCCCATTCTAGATGCTAGAGACCCTTGAACCACAGTGACACACTGGTCTGAAACCTTGGAGGCCACAGCAGAACTCTATAAGGCATAACTAGGGCTCAAATACTAGCTTGCTATACACTATTAATACAATGGCCTCAAGTGACTGACCAAGAAATAGGGGACAGATTAGCTTCAGAAGTCTAAGCAGTTTATGTCACTTCTACTGGCTGCTTAAGTTCCAACATGCTTTGGCAGCTGGCCAGACCACCTTGAAGGTAAACTACGAGAACAGGGACATCTGTCTGTTACTTGGTATATCCTAAGCCCTTAGAACAGTGCTTAGCATGTACCAGATGCTCAATAAATATTTATTTAGTGAGTTAATGAATTGGCCCAATATAGCAGACATCTATCTTTGTATTGCCCAGCATTCCGAACTTCTTTTGAGAATTACATCTTCCCTCTTCCATGCTGTTCTGTCGGGGCTCCCCATCATGACACTCAACAAGCTAGCAAATTGTATGACAAATCTGAAGCTCATTAATCTGCATGTCCCTATTCCCTGCATTTAACTACGTATCTGCACTCTTCACTTCTGGAGAATCTGAGGCATACTGTCAAGAGACTGAGAACCAGAGGTAGTACATTTTGCAGGTAGATCGTTTGGAAGCTAAACTTCATATGAATGTTTATCACAAAACCCAAGCCAACAAGTAAAATGAATTTCTCGTCAGAATAAGCTTCTGTTTCTAATATTATTGATTTTCATCTAATTAATCACCAGTATCAGAATTTATCTTACTCACATTCAAATAAATAAGAGATAAGACTTTTTCAAATTAATTAGAGATGAAATATAATTATTACAATGTCAGCTTTACTATAATAATGCTATTTAAGGTTTCTCAGAAAAAAATCTAATCTGTGAAATATGAAAAAAATATATACTAGACTATAATAATTCAACAAATGAGGGGGGGGACAGAAAACAAGGTTATTTAAGACTTTTTAAAAATTGTCATAAAACATATATAACATAAAATTTACCCTTTTAACTATTTTTAAGTGTACAATTCAGTGGCATTAAGCAGATTTACAATGTTGGGCAACCATCACTACTAACCATCTCCAGATTTTTTTACCATACTAAAAAAAAGCCAAATAAAAAACCAAACCCTCTGTACTCATTAAACAGTAACTCCCCTTTTCTCCTCCTCCCAGCCCCAGGTAAGTGCAATTCTACTTTCTGTCTCTATGAATTACATAACTGAATTATATGGGAATTATAAGTATTATACAATATTATATTGTATTATATTATTATATTAATCAAAATATTATACAATATTTTCCCTTTTTGTCTGGCTTATGCCATTTAATGTTTTCAAGGTTTATAGATATTATAGCATATATTAGAATTTCATTCCCCTTTATGGCTGAATAATAGTCTATTACATGTATCTACCACATTTTGTTATCCATTTACTTGTTGACAGACACTTGGGTTATTTTCACCTTTTGGCTACTGATCTATGAACACTGGTGTACAAGTATCTGCTTGAGGCCCTGCTTTCAATTATTTTGGGTATACCTGGGAGTGAAATTGGGTGGATCATATAGTAATTCTATGTTTAACATTTTGAGGAACCTGTATAAGGCTTTCAAAATGACTTATAAAGTAAAAATGTATTAACTTAGGAACTATTATAGGCAGTAAGTTATTCCTCACCTGATCCTCCACATATCATTACTGGAGACAGAGAGACCGCTGTACTAACTAGGACAGACAATACATCATTTCCTTGTAGGAAAGGAGGAAACAGGAATTTCCAAATAACTACAGATCCCCATGAAATAAGACATCACAATAACTGCAGCTGTACGTAAACATCAGGATCTTCACAAAGATGAATAGTCTTTAGAAAACCTAAAACTTCCATTCCTAAATAGTGTAAGAATGAATCCCAGAATGTGATCATACAACTGCAGCCTCTTTTGTGTGCAAAATAATTGATCAGTACCTTTCTAAAGTGTAAAGGTTATGAAAGACAAGGAAAGACTGAAGAAATGTCACAAAGTAGAGGACTAAGTAGCTCTGATAACTAACTGCAATGTAGTATCCTGGGTTGGATCTGGAACAGAAAAAGGACAATGGTGAAAAAAACTGGTAAGATCCAAATAAAGACTGTAACTTAGTTAATAGTATTGTAGCAGTGTTAATATCTTGGTTGTGATAACTGTACTATGATTATGTAAGGTGCTAACACTAGTGGAAGCTAGATGAATGATATATAGGAATTCTCTAATATTTTTGCAACTTTTATGTAATCTTTAAATGATTTCAAAATAAAAAGCTATAAATTATAGTCTCTGGACTTTAATGGGCATCTGAAAGTATTAAGCCAGATAATCAGAAATAGTAATAATAAACTTGCAGTTATAAGTCTTAACTTTGAATGACCTTCAATATTCACGAAGAGGAAAAAAAACAGTAATTTTGTAGTTAGTGTCTCTAATAAGCAATTTTCTCTTGCACCTTCACTGCCATTCTGGCCTTACATTTCTTCCTAGATCAATCCTCCCAATGCTTTTAACTTAATCTTCTGGAATGGACTTTACATAGGAAAACTTTCCCAACATTCATATCTTCTTAGATAACCATCCCCTTCAACTGTTGCCAAATCAATGTTTTAACCCAGATTGTTCTTTGAGCTTTGACAGTACAGCCACTGGCTTGCTGGATATCCCCACTTCCAAAGGCAGATGAAATTAAGCATGTATCTAAAGTGAAACCTTCATTCCACTCATTTACCAATATCAGACACACCGGACTCAGTCTAGACTTGCGCTCAACCATCCCCATTCCTGCTCCTAAGGAGTATCTTGGTCTATACTGTAGTATATACCTTTAATCCACTAAAGTATAAAGTTGAAATCCAGCCATCTTTATCATTGATACACAGTGAAATTGTACCCAAAAAAGCCAAAAGAGATTGTGGAAAGTAATGCTGGGAAATTCAGAGCATTTTCAATGTTGAAAATGCATTTTTGGGGTGCTTGGGTGGCTCAGTGGGTTAAAGCCTCTGCCTTCGGCTTAGGTCATGATCTCAGGGTCCTGGGATCGAGCCTGGCATCGGGCTCTCTGCTCAGCAGGGAGCCTGCTTCCTCCTCTCTCTCTGCCTGCCTCTCTGCCTACTTGTGGTCTCTGTCTGTCAAATAAATAAATAAAATCTTAAAAAAAAAAAAAAGAAAATGCATTTTTTTCCCCTTAAATTCTCACTTTGACAGCACATACACCAGAACTGCAATAATACAGAGATGATTAGCATGGCCCCTGTGCCAGGATGACATGGAAATTCATGAAGTATACCATTATTTTTAAGAAATTATACCAATTTTCTGCAATCTCTTTTAGAGGACAGAAGTAGAAGGAATTCTTCCTAACTTATTCTATGATACCAGAATTACCCTAATACTAAAACCAAACACATTACAAGAAAAAACTACAGACCACTATCTCTCATGAAGATAGATGCAAAAGTCCTCAATAAAATATTAGTAAATCAAGTCTAACAATGTTCAAAAATGGTAATACACCATAATCAAGTGGGATTTATCCCATGCATGCAAGGCTGTCTAACATTCGATAACCAAATGATATAATGTATCATATTAACAGGCTAAAGAAGAAATATCACATGATCATATTGATGGAGAAAAAGCATTTGACAAAATCCAAACCCATTCATGATAAAAGCACTTAGTAAAGAAGGGATAAGAACTTCCTCAATGTGATAAAAAATATCTACAGAGGGCTCCTGAGTGGCTCAGTCAGTTAAGCGTCTACCTTCGGCTCAGGTCATGATCCTGGGGTCCTGGGATCGAGCCCCACATCGGTCTCCCTGCTCAGTGGGAAGCCTGCTTCCCCCTCTCCCTCTGCTCCACTCCCCAACCCCAACCACCTGCATGTACTCCCTCTTATTCTCTCTCTGTAAAATAAATAAATAAAATCTTAAAAAATATATATCTACAGGAAACCTGCAGCTAGCAGGTTCCTAAAATCAGGAACAAGGCAGGGATGCCCCCTTTCATTGCTCTATTTCAATACTGTCATAGAAGTCTGAGCCAAAGTAATAAGATAAGGAAATAAAAGGTGTATGGATTAAGAGGGAAGAAATAAAAAAACTGTCTTTGCAGATGGCATGATGATCTATGTAAATATCTGAAAGAACCGAACAAAAAATTCCTAGAATAAGTGATCATAGTAAGGTTACAAAATACAAGGTTAATATACAAACGTCAATCATTTTCCTATTGAACAAATGACATTTGAAATTAAAAACACACTATCATTTATATCAGTGCCCTAAACAATGAAATACTTAGGTGCAAATCTAACAAAACATGTACACACCTGTCTATATGAAGAAAATTACAAAACTCTGATGAACAAAGTCAAAGGAGAATAAATAAATGGAGAAATAGTCCATGTTCACGGAGAAGACAATTTGATATTGTCAAGAGGTCTGTTCTTCCCAATTTGATCTATAGATTCAAAGCATCCCAGCCAAAATCCCAGAAAATTATTTTATGGATATCAACAAATCAATTTTAAAGTTTAAATAGGCAAAAGATAGAGAAGAGCCATCACAATCTTGAAGAAGAACAAAATTGGAGGACTAACACTACCCATCTCCAAGAGTTACTATAAAACTACAGTAATCGAGACAGTGTGATATTGGTGAAAGAACAGATACACAGATTAAAAGAATAGAACAGAGAGCCAGAAATATTGCCACATAAATAGGATCAATTGGTATCTGACAAAGAGGAAAGGGAACACAATGGAGCAAAACTAGTCTTTTCAACAACTGGATATCCACATGTAAAAAAAATGAATCTTGATACATATCTTACCCCTTTATAAAAACTAACTCAAAATGTATTAGAGACCTAAATGTAAAATGCAAAACTATGAAATTCCTAGAAGATAACACTGGAGAAAAATCTATGTGACCTTGGGTTTGTTGGTGACTTTTTAGAGATAACAACAAAGGTATGATCCATGAAAGAAATAACTGATAAGATGGACTTCAATAAAATAAAAAAATTCTGTTCTTCAAAAGACATTGTTAAGAGAATGAAAAGAGAAGCCAGAAACTGGGAAAAATAGTTACAAAAAATGTATCTGGTAAAGGACTGGTAGCCAAAATATACAGAAAACTTCTAAAACTCATCAATAAGAAAACAAACAAACCAATTAAGAAATGGGCCAGGGGTGCCTGGGCGGTGTAGTTGGTTAAGCATCCAACTCTTGGTTTCAGCTCAGGTCATGATCTCAGGGTCCTGGGATCAAGCCCTGCACCAGGTTCCATACTCAGTGGAGTCTGCTTGAGATTCTCTCTCCCTCTGCCTCTGCCCCACCTGCTAGTGCTGTCCCCTGCCATCTCACCCAAATAAATAAATAATTTTTTTTTAAAAGAAGAAATGGACCAAAGATCTTAACTGACACTTCATCAAAGAATACAGATAGATGGCAAGTAAGCATATGAAAAGACGTCCCACATCCTATGTCAGTAGGGAAATGCAAATAAAACAACCCATAAGAATGGGTACATACTGATTAAGTACAAATAAGCAGAGCACAGAAGATGTTTAAGGCAGTGAAACTATCCTGTTATGACATTAAAATGCTGGACATATACATTTGTCAAAACCCTCAGAATGTACAACACCAACAGTGAAAGATAATATAAACTATGGACTGTGGGTGATAACCTTTATCACTGTAGGTCCACCAGTTATAACAAATGTACCATTCTGGTGGGGGACACTGATAATGAGAGAGGCTATGCCTGTGTGGGGGCAAGGGGGAAATGGGAAATTTCTGTGCCTCCTGCTGAATTTTGCTATAAACCTAAAACTGCTCTAAAAAATGAAATATATTAAAAAAAAAAACGTGAGAGAAAGAAACACAAGCTAGTATACTGGTATTTCTATTAGCTACCTATTAGCTAAGATAGCCATTAGCCACTCATTTGTATATTATGGATTTAGAAAATACCACAAGGATGAGTTAATTCTTTTTGTTATTCTAAGTTCTACAAAGAAAAGGAAGTTCTTGCTTACTGGAAGCGGGGAAAAATATCAGAATGTCATTCCATATTTAGTGAAAAGTTGTACAAATTTCGAAGATAGAATTCAAATTCCAAAAGGGCCTAGCAGAAATAAAAACAAGCAAAGTTCTTCATTATATAAACAAAGAAATTGAATAAAGTTAGAGGAATTGTTTTGACCATATATTTAGATTACTGTGTGCTGATTTGGCCACACTATGATCAGAAAACCAATTCAGAAAAGAATGAGGGTTGGTGTGGGCATCTAAAACTTACAGATCCCAGTTACTTCCATATAAAACAGGATTAAGATTCTCTATCATTCCTTATCACTGAAATTCAAAAACAAAATTTGATTACTATTTCAGTCTTCACTTTTAATGAATCAAAGTGATATAAGGTAAAAATAATGAAAATATTTAACCCAACTTAATTTAATTACTGTTTATCATATGAACTTTCATGTAAACATGATTTGGATCTTTTGGTGAATGTCATGGTAACCCCAAATCTCTAGTTTAGGGAAATAATACCATCAAACTCAATCAGAAGTAGAGTTGGAACTAAACTTTAATGAACTATTTTATAATCATTTTCTCTTATTAGAGTAAGCTACCATGTTACTGTAAGAGAGCTTGGTAAGATTTTGCTGCTCATTAAATAATTAGTTCTCTATATTTGTTACTAAGACATACAAATGCCAGATTTGGTGGTCCCCAAGGGTATGTTAGAAAACTTAGGGAAAGTTCTAAGGGACCTCTAGTCAGGCAATATTCTGTAAGTTAGTTACATACTCTTATCATCATACACTGGGTTCCCTTCTTGAGAACCTCTATGCTCTAGGGCCAAATGGGCCTCTTTCAAGCAGCCCTATATTGGTGGAATTTCCTAGTACATCACTTCAGAATCAAAATCAAAGACTCTTGGGGCACCTGGGTGGCTCAGTCAGTTAAGCATCTGTCTCCGGCACAGGTTACGATCACAGGTTCCTGGGACTGAGCCTTGCATCTGGCCCCCTGCTCAGTGGGAAGCCTGCTTCTTTCTCTCCCGCTCCCCCTGCTTGTGCTCGCTCGCTTTCCCTCTCTCCATCAAATGAATAAATAAAATCCTAAAAAAAAAAAAAAAAAAAAGGATCAAAGACTCTTAAAGCTGGAAAGAAACTTAAAGATCAAAAATGGTATCACAGGGAAAAGTATGATCTGGTAAGATGCTGTTCAACCCCTTCTTGTGTCTGCACTGTTGATTATACAACAAAACAAAATTAAGCAAACAACCCTGAAGAATCTTTCCCTTTCACTGTAAGTATTAGGGTTGCTATATGTATAAATATAGAATTGTCTCATTTTTCCAGTATAAGATAAATAGCAGGCCATATTTGAACTTAACCCAAACTCTTATTTACTCACAATTTATCCTAACCCTTCATTTCTTCAGATGAAAGTAATTTTCCTGTGCTTTATAATAAAAACACAGCAACCAGAACCTGAATGTTTACAGTGTTTTGTCAACAAATAAGGCAAACAGTCCCCCAAATCTGAACTGGCTATGCAGACAAAAGAAATCAAATAATGACTTCAGAGTTCCAAAATCAATTTATTGCTCTAATGAGGGCTAGACTCCAACTTGGATATTTAACTTTTTTCAGGTCCCTAGTGAGATAAATGTTTTACCATATATTTTTAGCCTGGAGTTATTTTTATTTTAATAGCATTGCTTTTAAATAGCTTTTCCTTAAAGAAAAAAACAAAACAAAACAAAACAAAAAAGAAAACAAAACAAAAATACCCTCCAGCCCTTTTAACTTTATGATTCTCTAATTGAATTATGTGATTCGATTATGAAGCAATGGTTCATTTACTTTACCCAACTTTTATTATTTTGTGTTTAGAATCATTCTCAGAAATCCAAATTAGCTGATTATTGAATAAGTTCTAATTACTCCCCAGAGACTGTGGGAGCCTGGACTTTTTGGATTGTTCACGGTTGGCTGGGAAACAGGCTTCCTCTTGTAGTGCCCAATCTGCTGTTGATTTAAAAACTGACCCAAAGGGCTATTTGTTCTGGGTTCTTTGAAGTACATTAGCTGCTCCTGCCTTCTAGAATCATTCTGACGGACATCCTGAACCTCATGCCATATTCTTTACTATGTAGTCTGTGCAGCTGAGAATGATGGGATAATGGCTCATTAACCTGCTCTCACCTCCAAAAAGACGGCCTGGGATTTAAAACACCTCCAAATAATCACTCTGGTGTGTCTGGCTTG